AGCATTTTTACTATAGGACTTTGTGAATACCTTTCAATAGTTAATTAGTGTTATTTATAAACAACTCTGTGCTTTGTTCATTATAAAAATTCAATGAAAATTTCTTGAAAAAGAAGCAGAAAAGAGACTCTGGGTGCTGGATACAACCTGATGATCACCCCATCACTGTAGATGACTTCAGGCGTCCCCAGCTGGTGCAAATATTTAAGTGCTTGACTACTAGCTGAAAGGTTGATGATTCAAACCCATTGACACACATCTCAAAAGAAGGTTTTGCTTCTGAAAGTTCACAGCCTTGAAAACTCTATGGAGCAGTTCTACTCTGCACACATGGGGTAACCATGACTTGAAATCAATCATAAAGGCAACTCTTTTTCTTTTTGATGTTTTCTTATTGGTAGGTGATTTCTAGCCCTTGTCAAAAATGTCATTTCCTAATGACATTAAGGAGAGTAGGAAGAAGAGAAAAGTGTTTGGTTGGCATTTTGGAAAAACCTCTTCAATTAATTGCTTTCCCTGAGGAACCAGAACATAAAATTGATAACCACTTGAATAAACCTGCATCTCTATGGGGTGGAAATTGAAGGAGCTGAGAGAGAAGGACTTAGGATTTCTGGGCAGAGAGTCACAAAAGCAGGGCCTTTCCCTGACATAGGGTGAGCCCAGACATGGGGTTCTTATGGAATGATGGGACAAAGAAGCTTGAGTCCTAAGGACCAAATTATGTGCCTCTGGATATCTATGAGCATGGGTACTATGAAGAAAAGCTCCTAAGAATCAGCTTTGGGAAATTCTCATCCAGAGGATTTTTAATCTTCTGCTGGTGTCTTGGTAATTGCATTTCCTTTTCCAGCTTAATAAATGGCCACTGAATTCTTAGAGCCCTTATCAAGGCAATGAGACCAAGTTCCCTATAAAAAGCCTCTATGATATCCATGAGTTCCATAGAAATGAAATGGAGTAGATACTGCCCCCCCAATCCCTTCAAACATAAATTTCTTTTAAACACCATAGCTGCTGAGTATTCTATCTGGGATGGTATACTCTAAACAAGCTCCAGCAGTGTAAGAAGTCCTCTGTGCACAAGATTGAGTGGACATTACTAGTTGGAAAACAATTTTGTATTTTTCAAATTTACCTCAGGCTTTTCTTTTCTGGAAACAATTTCATTTTTGGCTCAGTACATTGACATGGCCTTGGCTTCCTTTGTATGCCTTGTGGATTGAAGAAAACTATAATAGAGTTATTTTAAGAATTGATGAGTCAGCAAAAAACTATCTGATGATAAGTCAGTAGTGTATAACACTCTATACTGGGTTATACATGACCTCCACTAAAATGACCACTTTCTCCTGATGACTTTGCATGTAAGTACAACCTATAACTCATTTATTGGTCAGTATTCTTCTTTGATGTTGATGATAAGTTCCACAGGTGAGTTTTATAAAAATGAATTTTATTTCAAGTCTTGCACTTGTTTGAAATATTACTACACATTCACGTCTTAAAATTCAGTTTCTTGAGTTCAGTGTTTGTCTATTTCTCCTCTTCTATTTGTCTCCCTTCCCTTTCTTTGTTTCACCTTTTCTACATTTTCTTCTCCTTTTTAGTCTTTTTCTTCCTCTCCTCTCCTCTCCCCTCCTACTCTCTTCTCTTCCTTCACCCCACTCTATTCACCTGTCCCTTCTAAACAAATATTTTTTAATGCCTGAGATTAGGAACATGATAGATGTCAAAAAGAATACATCACAACACGAGTAAGACACACTATTCTACAAATCATTTATTTGAATGTTACAGAGAGCTTACAGTTTCAGGAACACTCCACTCAGTCATAACTGGTAAATTTGGAAGAATTGCATTGTCTATGTTTAGGACATGGCTTTTGAAAATGAATGAACTAAATGAACACCCAAAAATAAACTAAAAACATGCAATTAAAGAAAGCAATTAGAATTTTTTCTTAATTTTAAGCTTTTTCTTAATAGTTTGCTGTATGTGTTTGTGTGTGTATATGTGTGTGTATATATATATATATCTGTGTATATATGTATGTGTGTATATATATATGTGTGTGTGTGTGTGTATATATATGTGTGTGTATATATATGACAACTTTTAGTTTTGGCATTTATCTTAGTTCCCTTGCTCCTCTCCCTTTCTTAGCTCAGGTTTAGAGAATCACTTCCTTTTGGAGATGTCCAGAGACAATTTACAAGTTTTCTTTGGTGAAACATCCTTCAGAATAGTAAAGTCATATAACAACAATTACAGTAATTTTATAAGAATTTTATCTTCATAACTGTCTTAAATATAGGTACATTTAGACTTCTTGCAATAAAGAATTTGAAGCACAAAAGAATCAATGTCATTTACTTAATAAGAAGTAAACCCAGGACTCCAAACAATGTCTTGGGATTTTAAGCCCATTTTCCTTGTTTGCTTTCCCATGTATTTCTACCTCTCTGTCTCTTCTCTGTGTCCTCACCCATTTTCTTTCTCTTTTCCTTCCTTTTTCATTTCCCTCTCTCAGCAGATGCTTTATGACTGTTCACTTATGACCAACACTGATGATACAAAAGTGACTAAATATACATATTTGTAATCATAAGGGGTGACCACACATCATTCCCACACAAAAGCTTACATAAATGAAATAGTAGTGGCAATTTCCTCCTAGCAATGTAGTTTTTCAGGTAGTGAAATATAACACAATATTAATTTAGTTCCATTTTCCTTTTATCTCCTAGGATTGCTTTGGAAATTATTCCTGAGTCTACGTCTACATTTATTGCATTATTTGCTAGAGATAGTTTTATCTATAGAAAGGTGTATATCTATCTATCTATCTATCTATCTATCTATCTATCTATATATATATATGTAAATATAGAGGTTATAGAGGATTTGCTATTTCAATAATCTTCATGTGTAAAACGCAGTGCCATTCATCATTTTGTTCAACCATCACCATTAACTATACTCAGATTTTTCCAACAGCATTAACAGAAACTCAGTGTTCCTAATAACTGTGTCTTTGTTCACCTTCCTCCCACTCACCTGCTAATCACTACTAAACTGGGGTCTCTATACCCTTGCCTATCTTCGACGTTTCACCTATGTGAGCTCCTACAATGTTTATACTTTTGTGACTGACTTATGTTACACGACATACTGTTTTCAAAGTGTGTCTTTGTTGTAGCATGTACTTCATTTCTATTTATGACTGAATAATGTCCCATTATATGTATGTCTAGGAGCTCTGGTGGTGTAGTGCCCAAGGCACTTGACTGCTAACCAGAAGGCTAGAGGTTCAAACCCACCAGCCACTCCTCAGAAGGAAGGTTGGGTAATCTATTTCTGTACTGATACTGTCTCAGAAACCCAGAGGGTGTTTCCAAAATGTTTTCTTTAATCAACTATTATCTAGGTAAATAGTGGATAAATGGGAAAAAATAATAAAACTACACAAGTAGTAGGGCAAGATATTTGTTTTAAGTGTTGGATACACAGAGGAGGGGGATATGTTGTAGTAAGTGCTGTTTATCACTATGTCTGAGACTGGAAGAAAGTACCTGTACTGCTTTTCACTTTTGAGGAAATGAAAAGCTTCCAGGCTGACGAAGTGGAGAAGGATGGTTCATGAGTAAAGAGTTTGAAAGACTCCCTATATGTCTTTTTATATGATTTAAATTAGTAGAACATGTTGGTTTTCTTTCTGACAAATATGTGTGGCAACTTGAAAAGAATAAACACATCTCTGAGTATCTGTGGATATGCCCCATGTGTGTTCTTGTCGTGGAGGAGGTTTGGAAACTTGATGCAGAGGATGCTTCTTTTCTAATTTCAAAAGGTACCTACTTTATTATGAAAAAAAAATATATATGAATAATTAAGAAAAAATATAAAGAGCAAAATGCATACCACCTGAAGTGTCACTTGTAGAATATAAAAAAATACAGCTCTTGATATGCCTTTGGACTTGTATTTGCCTCTGTACAACTGGGGAAAATAAGGAATCCCAAGGGTTTCTTTATTCATTAACCAAAAGTTTCAGTATTGAAGATGTCTGTCACTTATTTTCAGGAACATCAACTGTCACATCAACTGAGGTGATGGAGAGAGTGAGTAATGTCACGGAATTTATCCTCCTGGGCCTGACTCAGAATAAGGAACTTCAAAAAATTTTATTTGCTATGTTTCTAATTTTCTACTTGGTCACCTTGTCAGGCAACCTGCTCATCATGAACACTATTAGCACCAGCAGGGAATTAGGGTCCCCCATGTACTTCTTCCTGTTCCACTTATCTTTTATAGATGGCTTCTATCCATCATGCATGACCCCCAAAATGCTAGCTGACACTTTTTCTGTGAGAAAAACTATCTCTTTCAGGGGGTGCATGACTCAAGTCTTTGCTGGGCATCTTTTTGGTGCCGCTGAGGTCATCCTGCTGACAGTGATGGCCTATGACCGCTATGTGGCCATCTGCAAACCCCTGCACTACACAACCATCATGAGCCAGAGGATGTGCATTTTCCTGGTGGGATTAGTCTGGGCTGGAGGCTTTGTTCACACAACTATTCAGATTCTCTTCACAATTTGGCTGCCCTTCTGTGGCCCAAATGTCATAGACCACTTTATGTGTGATTTGAACCCTTTACTGAAACTTGTTTGCATGGACACTCATACTCCCGGTCTCTTTGTTGCTGCCAACAGTGGGTTAATATGCTTGTTAAACTTCCTCCTTTTGTTGATCTCCTATACTGTTATCCTGCGCTCCCTAAGGACCCATAGCTTGGAGAGGAGGCGGAAAGCTCTCTCCACCTGCTTCTCCCACATCACTGTGGTCGTCTTATTCTTTGTGCCTTGCATATTTGTGTATCTACGCCCAGTGACTACCTTCTCCATTGATAAAGCTGTGACTGTCTTTTATATCTTAATAACTCCCATGTTAAACCCCTTAATTTACACCCTCAGAAATGCTGAGGTGAAAATTGCTATGAAGAAGCTCTGGTGTCAAAAAGTAACTTCAGCTCAGAAATAATAACAGAAACAGCTCAGTAATAATAACTAATTAAAGGAGTTAATTCTTTAAGTAGTGAAGAGAGGAGACAGTAAGGTATGTGATTCAAGGTCAAGTGAAGACTATTTGTTAAAACTAGTTTGATATTGGCATATCAAACTTCATAAAAATGAAATTATTTGCAATATAAGAATATTTTAATTAAATTTATTTATGATCAGTTTGGTTGTTGGCCTTGAAAACATTGACAGAAATAGATCTTGTTAAAAAGCTGAATTCTCAGGATATGGCTCTAGGAATTTTACTTTAGTAGCGCTTTACTGTATTTATTTATTTACATTTTAAATAAATTACCCAGAAGATTCGGAAGCAGATGCTCTACGCACACTTTGAGCCACAGTGCTATAGACTGTGTTCACATTTTCTGCCTCCAGCTGGAAAAGTTGACCGTTTATTTTTATTTGGATGAAAACTTATCGTCATTGTTATCTTAGCTACATATTTACATTGAGAGACTTCTTCTCACACTTCTGCTACACAAAGGAGATATGTATTATTTATTGTACACATTTTTCAGAGGAATGAGTGACATGGACTAGTATGCCAGAATGATTACGAGCATAATATCTGAGTAACTCAGTCTTGAGTTTAAATGTTAGTTTTACCACTATGGCATGACCTTCAGCAAAACTTGAACTTTTTTGACTTCACTTAAAGAGGAATTAGAGATATTATCAGGATAAAATAAACAATTTAAAGCTCTTTATACTTAATAAATATTGTTGTTGTTGTTGTTGTTGTTATGTGCCGTCGAGTCAGACCCTACTCATAGCGATAAATATTAGTTATTGTAAACATTATTGGAGTATCTTAAGTTACAATGATCCTAAGTGTTACTCTAATTTTCTTTGAGCTTTAGCAGATATGATCCATTTTGTCTTTATCCCTGTTGCAAAGAATATTCTGAAAGCTGACTGGCCCAGTTGGAGTTCTTGGTGCTGCAATTGGATCCAATTTCCTCTGTATTTTTGAATCTCTGTCTTATTTATTCATTTTTAATCTCTGTCACCCTCATGTGTTCAAGGCATTGGGGCTGATCCATTTGTGGGAAGGATTTTCTCCTGACATGCTCTGTTTGATAGATTGAGGAGTCACTTTATTATGAACCTGAGGTCAGCACATATGCAGCCAGAATATGAATATATTTTAAAGAGAGATAATTGTTCAGATGAGGTAGTAAGTGGCATTGGTTAAAATCAGAACATGGAGTCTTGTGTTCTTACTTCTAATGTGACCTGAGCAAGTTATTTGACCTTTCCATGCTACATTGCCTTCATCTATAAAGTGATGATAGTAATGCCTACTTCATGAAGTCATTAGGCCAATTAAGTGGGTTAATATATATTAAGTGCTTGTAATAGTGCCTAACACATAATAAATCTTATGAAATTATTATTTTTCAAAGTAAAGTATTTTCTGGTGCTAAACAACTTCCAGTTGTGGAAGATGTGGGCTGGTATCTCTTCCAGAATTAGCAGGAGCCTCATTTCTCTGGGTAA